CCATTCTTTTGGACATGTTGTCAATTTCACCATGAATTTAAGCCATTCTTTTGGACATGTTGTCAAATTTCCCCATGATTAGAAGCCAATTCTTTTGGACATGTTGTCAAATTTCACCATGAATTTAAGCCATTCTTTTTGCCACGTTGTCTAATTTCCCCATGATTTTAAGCCATTCTTTTTAACGTGTCAAATTTCCCCATGATTTTGTCAAATTTCCCTATGATTTTGTCTAATTTCCCCATGATTTTGTCTAATTTCCATATGATTTTGTGTAATTTCCCCATGATTTTATCTAATTTCCCCATGATTTTGTTTAATTTCCCCATGATTTTGTCTAATTTCCCCATGATTTAACCAATTCTCTTTGACACATTGTCAAATATCCCCATGATTTTGTTAAATTTCTCCATGATTTTGTCTAATTTCCCCATGATTTTGTCTAATTTCCTCATGATTTAACCAATTCCTTTTAACATGTTGTCAAATTTCCCCATGATTTTAACCAATCCCTTTTTATTTCAGAATTAATACCGAAGCCTCAGTCTGGATTTGACGACCCTCCATTATACCTCTGTCTCCGAGTCGGTCAGCCCAAATTTAAAGAAGTATCACAAACATGCCCTATAGAGAGTTACCGTGGCAACAAGAAGAAACCTGAATATTGGTTTTCTATCCCACGAGACAAGTAAGTTTTGGGATGGGTTTTTGGAATTTCTTGGTATGGTATACAGTAACCCCAGTCCAAATCATATCACCTCTAAACTGACATATTTGAAGAGTTCCGACCAAATCACTGTGTAATCTATAGAAGGAAACTTCTAAACCACAATCGGCCATCTAATGGTGAGGGCACACGGACGGTCATGGTCGAAGATTTTTGTTGCTGATTAGATCTTAAGTAAATCTTGTGTGTGCCTGTGCTTCCATGACAAGATTATCAATTCCCCGACAGGATTTATAATAGCAAACAAGTTTGATAATTGTCTCCGATAGTTTCATCGTCTGCCAGACAGACTGTCATCATCCAATCAGATTCATTTCCCTTTCAATTACATGATCTGTGATTATCAATAGGTGGAAAACTACAGACTGCCGATTTCTGTCGGTGAAACTCTTGACAAAGCTCTAATCGGCTACAAAAATCTCCAACCAAGACAGTTCATGTGCCCGCACCTTTAATAAGGAAAGTAGTTAATCCATAGTTAATTCACCAACAACTCCTTTCGACCAATCATACCTTAGTTTCAGAAACAGGAATTTTTTAGCTAAGCTAATCAGTAATAGTGTTCACAGCTCACTGTCGAAATTTGAGTCTTCAAATCCATGTGTGTCCAGAATTATCCGCGTTTGTAAGTTAAAAATTCAACTGGAATTTTAGTGAGACTATGCCATATATAGAAAACACATATATAGAAATAGACAGTGAAATTTCTAGTTTGAGTTATATTTGAAGGGATTATGTGATTTTCGTGTGTTTTAGTATTTCTTAAGACTATTAAAGCACAATAAAGACCCAAATCAATCCCCGAAAATTCCCCATTTAATGATTGATTACTTAGGTTTTTTTGATGACATATAACAGGATTTAAAGTTGGGTTTCCTTATTTTTTAGTGTCAAATTAAGCAAACTATTTGATTAATTGGTGTTTCTAATGAATTATCATGTATTCTTAATCATATCATTATGTTCTTATTGCATATAATTAAGAGTTTTAACCAATCATAAATGTCCATGTATGTACAGTCTGGATAAACTAAAAAAGACTTTTTGACCTTTCTTGATCGGTCACTCATTGGAATTCTGCTGGTAATTCTCTTCTAATTAAGCTAATTATGAATTAATTATAGACATGTGAGACAAACTGGTATTTTTTCAAGTCATTAGAACACCTCTACTTTCTATTCATATAAGTATTAGCATTTTCATTTTTATAAATAAAAATAAGGGAACCCATCTTTAACTATGTTTTAATAGCCTGTTGCACAATAAACCAACAATCCCCTAAGCTAGGATGTAAAATTCCATTCTTTTGTAGGATTCAGTAGCCTAGAGCTAGTTTTAGGATGGGGAACAAGGATGCAGAATTTTTTTTCATTTCACTAGTTTCATTATAAAAGTAGGATAAAAATTCATTTCTTTAGCAGATGTGCAGTGAAGAAGGGTTTCAAAAAGTCAAAAAAGATTTGAGAAACTAGACCATAAAACTAACTCAGTAAGGTGCAATTAAAGGGATTGTAAAAAGGTTTTCTAAATTTTTTATGTGTATCAGAAACCCGGATAGCATCAATTTACATCATTCCAATTTTTAATCAGATGTCTGTGGTTCCTGTAATTCTACTAAAACTAAATGTTTGATGATGTCACTAATCACAAAATATGCTTTATCACATCATAAAAATTTAGTTTTAATGTAATTTCAGGAACCACAGAAATCTGATTAAAAATTGGAATGGTGTAAATTGATACTATCAGTGTCCCTGATACACATAAAAAATTCAGAAAACCTCTTTACAATGTCTTAGGTTGGATTTCAAGCGCTATTCATGAACCCAAAAGGTATGGGAGGATGTAAAACTCTATTTCATTTCAGGGTTGATCAACTGTACGCGTTTTTTGTCCAGTGGACTCCAGATATTTATGGTGACGAAGAAGATATGGACCCAGAACAACGAGGATTTGTTGTTTTTGATGAAGATGATTTGGATGCCGAGTCCTCCATTGAAATTTGTGATGAACATTTTGCCAGTATTCAGAAAATCAGAAAAGATTGGGAGGTAGGTTTTGTGGTGTGATGGACTTTCATTGGACTTAAATAGACTTCCATGAACTTCTATAGACTTCATTTGACTTCTATGGACTTCATTAGATTTAGATGGTCTGAATTGAACTTCTATAGACTTCCATGGCCTTAGATGGACTTCTATGGACTTCAATGGACTTTTATGAATAGACTTCTATGGACTTCAATGGACTTAAATAGACTTGAATTGACTTCTATAGACTCCCATGGACTTCAATGGGCTTTAATGGATTTCCATGGACTTTAATGGAATTCCATGGACTTAGATTGACTCCAATGGACTTCCATGGACTTCATTGGACTTAAATGGATTTCTATTGACTTCTGTGGGCATTTATGGATTTCAATGAACTTCAATGGACAATCAGATACAGAAGTAGGATGTAGACCTCAATTTCATCAGTAAAAAAGAAAAATACCCAATCCTAGGCCAATACATTTGGGAGAATCAAACTCTCCCTTTCCGCGTAATATATTTCATTTGATTAATCCAATCAGGTGCAGATAAGTAGGATGTAAAACTCCATTCTATTTCAGATTGTTAGTAAGGTAGAGGCTATCAGGCGTATGTCTACTGTTGATATAGAAGACACCTTACCACTACCAGACCTGGTTGGTACCACCACCATACTGACCAATGATGAACAGATACATCAGGTACGTTCTACAGGCCATATTCATGTTTCGGCCATATTGGATTCAGAATGAGGCTCATAAAGCAAACAAACAAAGGTAACATGGTGTCACTGCAGTAGACCTTATTGAATTCAGAATGAGGCTCATAACTCAAACAAAGGTAACAAGCGTGTGACTGCAATAGACCTTATTCATGCGTCAGCCATATTGGATTCAGAACGAGGCTCATAATGCAAACAAATAAATGTAACGTTGTGTCACTGCAATAGACCTTATTCACGTGTCAGCCATATTGGATCCAGAACGAGGCTCATAATGCAAACAGTGATAACGTTATTACAATGCATAAAATTTTATTTTCAGCTCTCCAATGCTCTTCCACCGCGAACCATAGGCTATCCTTGGACCTTGGTTTACAGTTCTGAGAACCATGGATTCAGTTTAAAAACACTGTACAGAAACATGCAGGGACTGGACAGTCCAGTACTCATTGTGGTCGAAGATACCAATGGCCACGTAAGTAACATTTAAAGGGATTGTAAAAAGGTTTTCTAAATTTTTCATGTGTATCAGGGACACTGATAGCATCAATTTACACCATTCTAATTTTCAATCAGATGTCTGTGATTCCTGCAATACCAATTAAAGTAAGCGTTTGATGATGTCATTAATCGCAAAATATGGCCTTTTGCAATGAGTGACGTCATCAAACACTTAGTTTGGCATAGGTCGAGATAATACCTTCAGATTTTTCAACCCGGTTTCCCCTGTCAGTGATGCAGGTAAGAGGGGCTGACATGGAGAAAGTGTTTAGTCATTGGATGGGACAATAAACCGAGGCCCCGTGTGCTACAGGCTGTGCATGTTAAAGATCCCTTGACAGTTGGAAATCAAAAAGAGAAGGCCAATGCCGCTGTTCTGGAAAAATTTCCCTCATTGTACACTGCATGACTTTGCCAGTCTTTATTTTTGTTATGTTTTAACAGGTGTTTGGTGCAGTGACCAATTGTCCGTTGAAAATGAGTGACCATTTTTATGGAACCGGGGAGTCTTTTCTCTACACTTTCTACCCGGATTTCAAAGTAAGTACCCGGTTTTTATTTTTCAACCAGATCTTGATGATCTAGATCTAGATCTTTGTCTATTCTTCCTCATATGATTGTGACAGGCAGGGTATGCTTAATCTTCTAGACACCTGATACCACTTTTCATTATCAAATACTTATGATTGATATACTTCCTCATATGAGGAGTTGTGACAGGCAGGGTATGCTTACTCTTCTAGACACCTGATACCACTTTTCATTATCAAATACTTACTCATTTATGATTGATATACTTCCTCAGGTGAAAAGTATATCAGCTGCTATCAATGTTTTGCCAAATGTTGTTTGGATTTTGGGTTTCGTTTTGCTGTTTGGATCGTTAGTACTTGGTTTGTTTATGTACTCCTGTTTATATTTTTTCTTCAGATTTTTCATTGGTCTGGTGATAATAATTTCTTTTTAAAAGGAAATCAGGAAAGTTTGGCGATTGGATCTGGCCAGTGAGTATTGTTTATTTTTATCTTGCAGCTAGGACATCCTAGGATCTTAACTTCTTACACTGTTTGTAGGATAGCCAAGCTCTAAGATTGTTTCGAGAATACGTTTCCAGATCTCTTTGGAACAACTGGAATAATGATGATCCTGTCTAGCAGCTGGTCCTTGACCAAACCTCTTGGTATTGATCTTTCCTGGATTATCTGTACCCATTTACAGCTGGGTTGACTGGAATAATGAGGATCTTGTCTACCAGCTGGTCCTTGACCAAACCTCTTGGTATTGATCTTTCCTAAATTATCTGTACCCATTTACAACTGGGTCGACTGGAATAATGAGAATCCTGTTTACCAGCTGGTCTTTTGAAATCGAAAGGCTTTGCTGCATATAAATACAGGATATGCTTACTCTTGTAGACACCTGATACCACTTTCCATTATGAAATATTTACTCACTTATAATTGATATACTTTCTCTTATGAGGGATTGTAACAGGCAGGGTATGCTTACTCTTCTGGACACCTGATACCACTTTTCATTATGAAATACTTACTCACTAATGATTGATATACTTCCTCATATCAGGGATTGTAACAGGCAGGGTATGCTTACTCTTCTAGACACCTGATACCACTTTCCATGAAATACTTACTCACTTATGATTGATATACTTCCTCATATGAGGGATTGTAACAGGCAGGGTATGCTTACTCTTCTAGACACCTGATACCACTTTTCATTATGAAATACTTACTCACTTATGATCGATATACTTCCTCATATGAGCGGTTGTAACAGACAAGATATGCTTACTCTTCTAGACACCTGATACCACTTTTCATTATGAAATACTTACTCACTTATGATCGATATACTTCCTCATATGAGCGGTTGTAACAGGCAGGGTATGCTTACTCTTCTGGACACCTGATACCACTTTTCATTATGAAATACTTACTCACTTATAACTGATATACATGAAAAGTTCATTAGTTGCTACCAATGTTTCACCAAAATGTTGTTTGGATTCTGGGTTTCGTTTTGCGGTTTGGATCGTTCGTACTTGGTTTATTTATTTACCCAAGCTGACGAGCTACCATGTTTTTTTTCAGAGGATATTTTGGTTTATGGTTTGATGGTGATTTATATCATGGAAGATCTCAACGCTGTGATACATTTGATAATGATATACTTACTGAGAAAGAAGATTTCTGTGTAAAAGCATTTGAAGCCTGGGCATTTGTTTAATACTTCCTTAAAAGGTAATTTTCCCAGAGTTTTATTATCCAATCAGATTACTGTGTTAAGTGACGTCATCAAACACTTAGTTTTAGTGGAATTACAGGAATCACAGACGTCTGATTGAAAATTGGAATGGTGTAAATTGATGCTATCAGTGTCTCGGATACACATAAAAAATTTAGAAAAACTCTTTACAATCCCTTTAACAATGAGATATTGAATCTACCAAAAATTGAAATTTCATACATTTTGGATCTTGAGAATGAGTTATGCCCCTGCCAGTGCTTATGAGGACTGTCTTTCCCACTCTATATTTTCAATCAATATTGATTTACCTTCATTCCTTTTCAGAGATTATCAAGCATATCATGAGCTGTCATAATACATTGGATTGAGA